GCTTCAGTTTCCTTCTCTTTTCGAGCAACTCCTTAGTGATGATGCAGATGCGATCCGATCTTCTTGCTTGAGGAACTGAAGCTAACTCGGTTCAACTTTTCAGTCCTTCGACAAGCAACTCGTACTCTTCGGTCAGGTCTTCTTTAATCTGCCAGTCACGTTTGGATAGGATTTCGTTCAATGTGTTCTCCTCGTATACAGCTAAACTTTTTCCTCGTGGTCGATGAAGAGAGTTATTTTCGAGCTTGCAGCTGAATCGAATCTTCGTGCGAAGAAGGGGCTGATCGGAACCAGTACAGAATGACGGGACTACCGATGTGTAGAGTAGGCACCATCTTCTGTTTGTCAGGATATAGTCGATTTCCGCATGAGTCGTGCCGTTGGGAGACTACCATGTCCAGCGGCGGCTTTCTTCTTGAAGAGCGAGTTCCCATGGAAGAGACGTGCTGCTGACAGGAGTCCTGCGATGCGGTTTCCATTCTCCATTCTCATTTCCTTCTAATCCAAAATTCCCGATCCTGTATTCGCTCTCGTTGGCCTTTCCTATTCTGGCGTTGAAGTCTCCAACAACAAATTTAAGATATGCTTTATAATTGCGGATGACTTCCTCCAACTGATAGTAGAACGCATTTAATTCGTTCTCATCAGCTATGTCGGTCGGTGAGTAGCAGTTGATTATCGTCAACATCAACGTCAACTGTGCGAAATCAGCGCCGCAGAAACAGGGAGTCCATCCCCTGGATCCACCTACGTCTCAGGGAGGCAAAGATCGCTTCCGGTCCGCGATTAACCCCCTATCCGTCACATGGGGACGCGCCACGTAGCCTTGTGACTAACCGGCTCGAGATCCCTCATATGAGAGAGATAAACGTATGGATCAAATTTTCCACTATTGTTGTGAGGGTAAACACAATCTTTCGAAAGCATTAGTTTTATTCCTTAAATTATAAGTTTAATAGGATCGTAGCATGTTATAAAACAACTAAAATTTCTTGCTCAACCACAGCCACCACACGCACTGAAGAAACGTTTGACAACATCATCCGGTTATGGGAGCGCGTGTGGCGTAGTGGTCGGAGGCGTTCTGCGGTACACATAGGATCGATGCCCGTGCCCAGGTTCAGCACGCCTTCCATTCCTCCGGCATCATCAAATTGGTACCAGATTTGTCTGGGAGGATAGCAGGACTAACTCGATACATCGGTAGGCCACCGCGAATTATTGTGTGGGCCTCCTATGCATACAGTAACTTCCAACGATGCTTTGCGAAGTCGAGCGCATCCCTCAGGGGTTGATTAACGCCGAGAGCTTTATCCTTTTTATTTTATAGGGTTATCGCCTCGGATCAATGGCTCTGATGAAGACGGTGTCGTCGAAACGTTAGCCGAATTAAAGTTGCATAAAAACTCCGCGTAAACTCAGAGATTTGAACACATGTCATAGGAATGCGTCGTTTTCTTGTTCAGCAATCACGAGGTTGTTAAACAGCATACATTTACTTCCATAGAAAAACTCACAGTACAGCAGTAGCTGACGTTTCCGCGGTATCGTCTTCTTCAGAGCCTGGAATTGCATAGCAGTACAACCTTCTAGACTCTGAAGAAGACGACACTTCCGAAACGCCAGTTACTGTTGTGTTGTCATCAAGCACATGCGACTATAATCACCTGATCTAATCTTCCTCATTGGAAGTCACATAAAAAAGCGGTCAGTTACTCGAGAAGCTGTTGATCATGTAGTTGCCATAGAGTTTTTCTTTTTTTTTGTAAGTGTTGTTGAAGCGTTTGTCCTAGTAAATTGTATATTAGTATGCCCTTCCAGACTCTGGAAAAGGCGGTACTGCCTAAACGTCGGCTACTGTTGCATTGTATTGTGTTCTCTATGGAAGTAAATGTATGCTGTATAACAATCTTGCGATTGCTGAGCAAGAGAACGACGTATTTATATTCCAATGCCAAGGTTAATAGAAGGTCGGTCCTGGGAACATGTCGTAGGTTCCTATTTTTATCCCCGTAAAAGTCCACTATTTCAGGACTTTGTTCTTTTCAAGGATTCAATTTTTCCTTCCAGACTTAACTTACTTTACAATACGGTGCTGTTTCTCATTCGTGAACCTATGCGAAAGGCAAATATTTTGAGGGGTTGTATACCGTGTTTCGTGAATATAATATGGCTTTGGTATGTTATTAAATCTACTTATTACCTAAGAAGCAGTACCACTCATTAAATTCCACTTTCAGTCCTTTAATAGGCCTTATGTTGAGCACTTTTTGTACGTTGTTATGGTCAACATTCTCTTCGGGTCATGATGTTCCATGGGTTGTCTTTCTATCATTTCCTCTTTCAACAGTCATAGAATCATTGGCGGAACCCTTTGCTATAATATCTTTGCGGTGAGTCAAAGGTAGTAGTGGTCCGCCTACACTTCAGAGAGAACATGCAATCATGTGCGTCGTTCAGATTTTCTCAATCGCTTCATTTTGCCGTTTCTCAAAGTTTGCTGGTGTTTTTGCAACGTGTTTTTGTACTTGCTCTAATCACATCGACCTCCATGAATCATTTGGATATTTTCGCTTGTGCACAAGTAAGGGTTTTTACGACGTAACTTTGCTAACTATAAAGTATTTTTGAAATATTCTCATTATTCTGGCCTTCCTAAATCCCACTTTATTATCGTTCTATAGCTTTGTGGTGCTCTGCAGTACACTTACTTAAACACTTGGATGGTCCGTCTTCACTGGTTGTGAGGCCCTCAGCACAATTTCTACTTTTTCGGAGTTTTGCCGGTTTAGCCACTGTGGTTCCCTGGAATCCCGAGGTCAGCTTGGCCAAACTCTGCTCCAGGTCCTCACCACCATAGGCAGTTGCCGCCTTTGCCGATCAGAGGGAGATTTTCCAGCATGCGACAATTTTTATATCAGGATGGTGGTGGATCCTGGTACTGGTTTACTCTTAGCTAAGCTGCCCTGATGGAAACGCCGGGCTCCTCAGCTTGGGAGACTGTTGAGGTATGAATGGCGCTGCTGCACATCTCGGCCCGACACCCAGAAACACCTTCCATCCATGATGAGGCGCTAAACCGTTGGGAGGCTCTGCAATATTTAAGGAGAAAAACAACACTTTTTTCTACGTGTTCACTCTACTATATTTCAAAGTTTCATGTTCATCAGAATTTCGTTTTGTTTAATTTCCAGTACTGCATATGTGATTCAGGTTATGTCATCCACTGCTTATTTATTATTCCACTACTTAGCTTTTCTACACTATTCAAGGTGTTCTATACCGGAATTATCACCATTCAAGGTTTTTCGAAGCTTCTTTCCCCATCCAAGGTTATTTTTTGTGTACTATTCTTCTTTCTTATCGCCAGAGTTTTACAGTGAACACTATTTTGCGACTCCTACCGTTTCAGCCATGGAATTGATCGTGAAGCACTGTCAACATTGTGCACTTTATTTGGTCATTCCGTTTTGAAGCAACTGCTGACTGATGGGAGTGCGTATGTTATGACTTTTACGGAAATACTTTCGTTGAAGACTCAAGGTCAGGATTCTTAGCGTTCTTCCGTTTTCGTTCTTTTTTCTTGCGTTTCGATCCGTGTCTTAATGTTTGCATGTATGTATATGTATGTATACTTAATTACTTGATACTTGAACGACTCGTTCTCACTAGTTGTGCGGGGCTCCACCACAATCACCGTTTTTCGGAGATTTGCTGGTTAAGCCATTGCAGTTCCCTGGAATCCCGAGGTCAGCCTGGCCAAAGTCTGCCCCAGGTCTTCACCACCACAAGCAGTCGCAACCTTTGTGGATCAGAGGAAGATTTGCCACCACGCGACTTTGATACCAGGACGGTGGTGGATCCTGGTATTGGTTTACTGTTAGCTAGGCGTCCTAATGGGAACGTCGGACTCCTTCTCAGGTTGGGAGACCCTGCCAGGAAAATCAATCCCCATTGTACATCGCAGCCCGAAACGCAGGAACACCTCCTAGCCACGATGAGGCGGTAAACCGTTGTGAGGATATGTATATGTGCGTATATGTATGTATATGTATGATGTATGTATGTATATATATATCTCTTTATACGCAGCCGTCTATGATGCCGTCGAGAAAGTTGGCAGTCTGGTAGCGCGAATTGTATTGGCACCTATGGAGGAGATGTGTTTTGCTTATTTTTCCAACACAATCCGTCAGAATTCAAAAGTGTTTAGCAAAAGTACGGTAGGTGGCTTATTTACATGATCATACTCCGTACTATCTGGACTGGTACTTAATCAATTGAAATGGATCAATCCTTGAGGGACGCGCCATGCATTCGGCTCCGCCAAGCATCGTTAGAAGCAACCGTATGTATAGGTGGCCTATACGATGACTCGTGGTGGCCTATTGTTATATCGAGTTAGTGTTGCTATCCTCCCAGACAAATCTGGTACCAATTTGCCGACGCCGAAGGGATGAAAGGCTCGCTGAACCTGAGCACGGGGATCGATCCCATGTGTAATGCAGAGCGCCTCCGACCAACTACGTCACACGTGCTCCCTTAACCCGATAACGTTGTCAAATGTTTCTTCAGTGCGTACGGTGGCCGTGGTAGAGCTAGAAATTTTAAGTGTTTTATATCACGCTACGTTTCTTTTGAACTTATAATTTAGGGAATAAAACTAGTGTTTTCGAAGGGTTATGTTTAGACTCAAAGCAATAGTGGAAAATCTGATCTATATGTTTATCTAGCCTAAAGTTATAAAATACTGAAGTTGTAGATAAATTAGAGACAAATGTCGAAAACTCCAAGTATACCGAGCTCCACAACATTCAGAATAGGTTGTATTCCTAATTTAATCTTTGAACGGATATCAGGTGAAATGAGGTATCCGTTCAAAACTTCCCTTAACGTGAGAAAACTTTTTGCTGAGTAGCAAAAGCGTTTGTTACATTACATAACTTATATAGTGTAGTGATGTAGTACGAAGAATAGAGCACTCAGCGTTGGTCAGTCCCATACGTATGCCTCATAAATTCGTCTTCATGTGGGATTTGTATTGCGCATTGGTTAGGGGTGCTTTGCAACATAGTTCATTCTTAAGATGTTGAAAATTTGATGATATAATTGTCCTGAAGTAAGAACACTCAGTAGATAGACCAGGCGACCTCTGAAAAGTCATTCTATAAGTCAAATGCGCGGAAACATGCTCACGGCTGGGAATATGTTAGAAGCAGATTCGCTGTTGTTTGTGATATGAAGAGAAGTGAACTTATGGCTAAAAGCGTGTAAAAACGCCATCACTTACCTTTAACGCAATAATTATGGCCCATAATTTTTAGTCGTAGGAGCACTGAGTTCTGTGTGATTCGTATCGTCGATTCGATAGGTAACGGTCTCAGTTTTTGTATCTTCGCTTTGTAATTCGGTTTTTCTGTTTATTTGGTTGTGAAGTTTTCCCGTATTCTGATTTCTTAGGTATCTTTTGAGATCTTCTACTTATTATTTCGTACATTTAGAGCGTTTCCATCTCTATTATGGTGAAAAAAAATCGGCCTTTTCAGACAGCTGTTATTAAAGCACGATAGCTGACGTTTCACTGGTTTCTCCTTCTTCAGAGCCTGAAAAGGTTAAATAGATATGCAATTTTTTCAGTCAAACACTTCTATTACCTCAGCAGGCAAAATTTAACGAACGAATTTAAAAAAGTTGTTTTTAAAACGCTGTTCTAAATTTCAGCTGTTGTGTATTAATAAATGCTGTAATAACAACCTCGTGTTTGCTCATAACGAAGAACAGTGAGTAACTGATGAATGTCGAGGTTAGAAGAATGCCGATCGTGGAATTTTCTGCGCTGTTGGCTCTTGGTGGTTCGTTTCATAATATATGTGAAGTATAAAAGTATAACCAAGGAAGTATAAACGCGGCTGAGAGAAGGGCGAAACGAAGGACACTCATGGTGTGGTGGTAGACAAGTAAGCCCCCGGAAAGCGTAACAGCGGGTTTGAGCCCCGCCGCAGATACCTGTGGTCCGGAGTTCTGCAAATATCTCACCATCATTGTAGTCATATGAAGTATATTTCAGCATCTTAATAACTTCTATATCTATGCATTTCATGATATAGCTCATTGTAACGATTGTGAAAGGAAGAAGAAGTAATATTTTCAAAACTCAAACAAATGTGCGGTATTGTTGGTGTAGATACCAAAGGGGTCGGAGCCCCACCAAACAACGTAACGAAGGACATTTTGGACTCATGGAGAACTTTCACTGCACTCATCGTATATATTTTATCTGTAACGAACTTGTTTTTATTACTTCTATTTTTTCTTTCACCTTTATATTAATTAATGGAGCCGAATGCACGGCACATCACTAAGGGGCAGATCAATTTCGGACGCTTTGCCCCTCAGTGCTTTGAAAAAATACGACATTACATGTATCAGGTATTGTTGATATTCAGGACACGGGCGAGTCATTGATTTACAACTTCAGCACTGTTCTTCATGCCACTTCTGTCATTGGATTGGTTGTTTCAGTTTTTGGGGTGCCATATTCCCCTTTAGCTGTGTCTATGTATGGTGGACATCTTCTTTATGACAGCGGAGGTAATAAATAGGCCAACATATACAAGTTGTGAATTTAAATAAGGTTATGTTCTCAAATGTCAACTGTTTATTGGTTATAGGTGCAATATTATTATCACTCTATTGTGTATATCTATCAATTATGGCCATTAATGGAATCACGGAATGTTTTGCAATGGCAAGTATGAATAATGCACAGGTAGAATTTGGTTAAATTGTGCGTAGCAGAAAACAAATTTTTAATCAACGGGAAGGATTGGTGCTGTTGGGGATGTAAATGCTTGTTTTTACCAGAAACTTGCTTTTAATCCTTCCTAGTGCTTTATCCAATGTTCTATTTTTGTTTTTAAAAGCTTATTTGTATATTTGGATACTTTTGCCGCTCATCTTCACTGTTTGTGCATTCCCTAGCGTAATTTCCACTCTTCGGAGACTTGCTGGTTTAGTCATTATGTTCCCTAGAGTCCCGAGGGCAGTGTGGCCATAGTCTGCACCAGGTCGTCACCGCCACAGAGACTCGTCGTCCTTGTGGATCAGAGGGAGTTTTCCCGCCATGCGTATTTGATACCAGGACGGTGGTGGATCCTGGTATTAGTCTGCCCTCAGCTGTGCTTCCTCATGGAAACGCCGGACTCCTCAGCTTGGGAGACTCTGCTGGGGAGATGAATCCCCCGTTGTACATTGCAGTCCGACTCCCAAGAACACCTCCCAGCTACAATGAGGCGATAAACCGCTGGGAGGGTTTTAGTGACTGTTAATAAGAATGTATTGGGAGCAGGTAACGGAGTCCAATTTGCGTTCGTTTATTTAGAGCATCTTACTGTACCACACAACTCAATTTCTTCACATGATTTGGCAGTAGACTTGTTTATGAAGAATATATCCAATCCAACCCAATCTTTTCACATCATTCGCCTGTAAACTCCTTTATGAAGAATATGTTCATTTGGTGGTGTTTTGTGTAATGTATATGAGGCTTTTTTTTTTATCACCTTTGTCATCTAACCAACGAATCATGGATGGTGAAGTACGTACTGATTCGTTTTGGTCTGTATTTAACCGTATGGGACACAGGATGTGTCGCAATACCTGACCCTTGGACGGCTTGAGGCTCACATGACATAGAGCAACAGTGGTTTATTAATTCTAAATATTCGATGTCTTTGCAGGTGTTTTCTCATGGAGGTTTTTTACTCATATCAGCAATCGCTCATCTTGGTTTGAGTTTCATTTTGTGCTCCTATTTAAATGCAGCAGGATTTATTGTTGCCAATTGTATCAACATGTTTTTCCGTATCGGGTACAGGTAAGCTCGTAGTTATGGGGGCATTTGCGAAAAAAAGTATTTCAGATTTGAGAAGTTCGCTATTCTCATGGATAAGGAATGTTCGTTTTCATAGACAGGGACAATTTTTAATTCTGCTTTAATAGCTATGGTTCTTTAGTTGGCGACATATTTGCTCATTTCTGGGTAACAAGAGTCCTTCCGTAACTACTGTTTTACCGACCTTCTCTACAATCGTTTTTCTATTTTTTGCACTAATGGCGACGTTGTTCACACTTTTGGTGAGTTGGTCCAAATTTATGAAACACTCGGAAAGAGCTCGTATAGGTGAATAAAAACGCTTGATGTCGTAAAAACCACAACGAATTCGTAAAGAAAGTATTAGTTTCGTGGATCCAAATAGATGCCGTGGCTTCACTACAAATCAGTTATCATTGATAGTCCGCAACTAGTGAAGCGTTTAAATGTCCAACCACCTATGGATATCATCATATTCGTGCTCATCCGTGCGTTCACTTTCTTCAGAATATTCATCGATAGGAAGCCCACGGAATTACACTTTGTTCTCATTATCTTCTCCTTCACTTTCGATGAAGATATTAATGAAGATATATTATATATATTATTTTACGATTCCGTTGAAGATAGGTCTATTTACTCTTCTAATTGCATGGATGAAACCCACTAATTTTGCAGTCTAATAGAAAGAAATTGCGTTGGTGGTGACGGGTGTGGAACTTTTATCACATCAACGAGTGAGTGGCAGAAAAGAAAAAAAACAATGAGAACATGACGATAGTGGATTGGAAGATTGACGACAATCTCATTAGATAAGAAGCTCACTGCATCATACCGTTTTGTTGGATCTTCTAGTGTTTGCATATGTTTAAGATAGAACAGGAACTTTTTGAAATATTCTTGATGATTGGCTCCCATTCATTCATTCGGATCTGGTGAATTTTCTAATCTTGTGGGGTAACTGAAGAAGTATTTAATAACGTTGATATGGTTTATACAAGGTGTTCCATTGAGTATTATATGGGTAGATTTACTATTATGCTTTTCAACGGGATACTCTAATACCGCAAACGTTTAAAGGAAAGCTGTTAGAATATTACGTTGAAGTGGGCGGTATTGGTTGTCTTCGTATTTTTGTTGAGCAAACGCGAGGTGTTACTATTCTTTGTTCACGATTAAGCTGACGTTTCGGCGGATTTCGCCTTCTTCAGAGCCTGGAAAGGTCAAGTTGATAGCAACTCACTCGGCCAGACACCTCCATAACCAAACAAAGAAACTCCACACCAAGATTTCAATCACTTTGAACACAGCTTTGCACACTCACCGCTTTCTATGAGGTTTCCACTAAGTATGTCACGTAGAGACGTAGAGACCAACCGCACAGAAATCACGTGGAAGTATAATGCGCCCCTCACATCAGAAAAGCAGTTTTATATACTGCCCTATATCACGCGTGATAATGAGGCATTCTTCCCTGCGGTTCATTTTCGGATTTCTGGAATTAATCCAGAGTGCCTCGAGAGTTTTTCGCGCCTGTGTTCTTGATTCGCGTGCGAGAATCGTGACACATACTTCAAAGTCGTCCCCGTTATGTCTCTGGATCCTATGCGTGCCTAGCGGGGTATTTGGTCTATTTTTGCCGGCTAGGTGTTCTTTCATGCGGACACAGAGGGGTCTACCCGTTTCGCCAATGTATTCGTCACCACACGTCTTACAGGAGATCAGATAAACTATACCCGAGCTCATGCAATCACCGTCTCTACCACTGGGGCAAATTATGCAATTTTGAGTTGCACATAGACGGTCATATAGGCGGTTACGAACTAGCTGGCGCTTAAGATTACTCTGTGGTATTTCAACTACGCTCACCGAATTCTCTAAGCCC